AGTAACCATGGCAACATATAGGCATCACTGCTGAACCATGACAACAGACGGTTTTCAGTACTAAAGATAAAAATTTAACACTAGCACACTTTTATTCAGGTGTATATATTTTTTATTTTGAAATTAAACTTTCTGAATTTCAGAGTTTAAAATATTTCACATATGGTGAAGACTGTAAGGCTTATATTGGTTTAACTATCTTAAATGATGATGATGTGTTTGTTCTCCTCATGTAAGCAGGAATCATCAGTGAAACATTCAAATGAACATTGTTACCTGCTCAACTACTTTTTCAAACAACCTGATGCCATGGCTTTTAAAATCATTAGTCTGGAAGAAAGATCGAATACTGTACACATTATAAATTGAATCAAAAGAAAATGGCACTGACCTTGAGACTGAATGTTAAAGCCTAAATTTTGAAATCAATTTTCTTTGTACAGAGAAATCAAGCATAGTTTTCTACAATGAACTGATACGAATGTAGAAAATTGAAAAAAGTGCAACAAGATTTCTAATTGGAGGGGAATTTAGTCTGGTTAACTGCTGTGAATACATCAAATTTCAAATATCAGACACAATATGTGAGTATTGATCCATTGATAAACAGCATTATCAGACCCTGTTGGAGTCAGTCAGAGCATTTCCATAGAGAGCCACTTTGCATCAGCAGCACCATGCTCCAGTGCTCTGAGAGAGTTTATAGTCCTGAGAGTTGAACACTGGATGACTGACAGCTGTCCTTCATGACAACAGAAGCCACAGAAATCCTCCTCATCAAAAACATGACTTTGATCTGCGTCCTCATCTGGACTCTCCTCTGCTGCTGCTTCACAGGTAAAGTCCAGAGAATCAAACTCCTCTCCTCTATGAACATCCGTCCCTCTGAAATGAAGCCCACAAAACCATGACGCTGCTTTATGTTTTTGTCTCTGTATCCTCAGAGTCCAGAGGCCAGGTCACAGTGACTCAGCCTGGAGCAGTGAGCTCTGCTCTGGGAGGCTCTGTCTCCATCAGATGTAGGACCAGTCAGAATGTAATTGGTGGGAGCTATTTATCCTGGTACCAACAGAGAGAAGGAGAAACTCCCAAACTGCTCATTTACGCTGCTAGCACTCGAGCATCAGGGATTCCAGGTCGTTTTACAGGCAGTGGATCAAACTCTGACTTCACTCTGACCATCAGTGGAGTCCAGACTGAAGATGCAGCAGTTTACTACTGTCAGAGTCAACACTCTATTAACAGTCAGTGGTTGTTCACACAGTGAAAAAGCGTTGTGCAAAAACCTCCCTCAGTCAGACTGAAAACAAACTGAAGTGACTGCTGCAGCTGGAAGCTACTGCAGAGACTGATACACTTCACTGAGGACACACACATTAGCAAAAAAGCATTAAGAAATAAACAGAAGAGCAAACACAATGTTAGTCACTTGAAAGCAAAATAATATGATTTGAAGAAGAACAATTTAATAACAATAATTATTTAAAGCTTCAGTTCCACATCAGAATCATTGTTTTTCCCAACAAGCAGGCAATTGACAGGTATGTGTAACCTCTTCAAAATTTCATAATTTCATAGATCGAACATTTCACCATGTTTTATTTAACCACCAAAGAACATGTAGCAAAAGAAGTTGAATGATTAAACGATTATCTTGGATATTCAGTGACTCTCTCCATCACAGCTTCACACCATCCATCCATATCCCATTATCATACCATTGCCCAATTATCCAAAGGTACCAACTTGGAAAAGTTAAGAAGAGTCATGCTCATGACCTTTGACCTCAGCCTCATACTGCACTAAATATATTTCAATTATGTCCACTTAAAAGAAAACATGAAGACACAGATCAACATCATAAAACCTCATAATCAAAGATTTCCCAAACAAAAACCTGTACATCCCTCAAATCAAGTTGTTTGATGACTTTGTTGTTTTCTGGCTCTGCCCACATGTCCAAATCTTCTGGATGGAGTTTCATTAGCATCTCCTCATGACAATGCAATATCTGCATTACAAACTTATGTCAAACCTACATCAATTTTAGTGCCACTAATCCCTGTTAAAAACATAATTTTCCCAAACTTGAATGGCAAAACAAAACTGTCATAAATCACTTGGTCAGTTAACTACCAAACTTTTCAGTATGTAAATATGTAGATCAATGCTCTCAGCACTGAGGGGGAAACACCATGATATGTTGAGGACAGCTGCAGCTCACTGACTCTGTGTGTTTGCATATGTGTCCTGCCTCTCTGCTCCCAGCCGTTAAGAGGTCAGTGTTGATCAGTGGCTGTCCAGGCCTTTCAGAGCCACTGACACGCCGGCAGCACAATGATGTCACTGAGTTATAACAATGGCAAACCCTGGTTCATAGCTAAACTCAGACAGCTAAGGTTGGAAAAGGAGGAGGCATTTAGGAGTGGTGACAGGGCTGGGTGCAGGGTGTTAAAGTAGAGGTTTAGTAAGGAGGTACGAGAAGCTAAATGACTGTACTCAGAGAGACTAAAGAACCAGTTTTCCGCAAATGACACCACTTCTGTCTGGAGGGGGTTCAGACAGATCACAAACTATAAACCCAAAGTCCCCCACTCCATAAACAATTCTCGCCTGGCAAATGAGCTGAACCAGTTCTACTTTGAGAGTCAATCAGACAGCATCCCCCGTGACTCCTCCGCTCAGCTTCAGCCTTAAGGCCCATTTATACTCCTGCGCAGGGTCTACGTGCGTAACTACGCCGTACACTACGCACGTAGCCATGCATTTATATTTATGCGTAGGTGTGTCCGTCATTCTGCAATTACATCCCCAAACGCTAGTCGGCAGTAGCGCTACAGCGTCGACTTTTTGCCGGCCAGCAGGCTAACTTTCGGTTTAGTGCTCCGCTAACGTAAATGGGGAAAAATTGGATACGTGCGGCTGGTGTAGCCTTTTCAAATGTTACCGACCGAATGGATCACATTCTGATAGCGAAACGAGTCATTTCGCTCGGGTTGCGACAGTCAATTATATTGATTCTCTGGTTACAGCCGCCATTCCCCGCCAAAGCACAGGGTACTTCTGGTCGGCTAAGAGGCATTGCGAGGCTACACAGCCGACCAATCACAGAGCTTACGAACCGCGTCGACTCAAAGTGTAGTCACACATTTGAGGAGGTGCACGCCAGGCGACGGCGTGGCCTCTGCGTATCCCCGTAGCCTACGCCATTACCTATGCCGTCGATTTGATGCAGAAGTATAAATTGCACTCCCCCCCCAGAGCTGGCCAGCTCCTCCCCTCCTCTCTCCATCACAGAGAGGGAAGTCAACGGTCTTTTCAGGTGGCAGAAAACTCGCAAAGCAGCTGGGCCGGACTCTGTCTCCCAATCCGCCCTGAAGCACTGTGCTGATCAGCTGTCTCCGGTGTTCACAGACATTTTTAACACCTCACTGGAGACATGCCATGTGCCAGCCTGCTTCAGAGCCTCCTCCATCATCCCTGTCCCCAACAAACCAAGGACCACTGGACTAAACGACTACAGACCCGTCGCCCTGACCACTGTGATTATGAAGTCCTTTGAACACCTTGTGTTGTCCCACCTAAAATCTATTACAGACCCACTCCTGGACCCCCTGCAATTTGCCTACAGAGCCAACAGGTCTGTAGATGATGCAGTAAACATGGCCCTTCACTTCATCCTCCAGCACCTGGACCTCCCAGGAACCTACGCCAGGATCCTGTTTGTGGATTTCAGCTCTGCTTTTAACACCATCATCCCGGCCCTGCTGCAGGACAAGCTCTCCCAGCTGAACGTGCCTGACTCCACCTGCAGGTGGATCACTTCTCCCTGTACACCAACAGCTGCACCTCCAGTCATCAGTCTGTCAAGCTCCTGAAGTTTGCAGACAACACCACCCTCATTGGGTCATCTCAGGTGGAGACAAGTCCGCCTACAGGTGAGAGATCGACCATCTGGTGACCTGGTGCAGCCAGAACAATCTGGAGCTCAACGCTCAGAAGACAGTGGAGATGGTCGTGGATTTGAGAAAGAGCCCAGCGCCACCCGCCCCCATCATTCCTTGTATCTCCCCAGTCACCACTGTGGAGTCTTCCGCTTCCTGGGCACCATCATCTCCCAGGACCTCAAGTGGTAACTGAACATCACCTCCATCATCAAAAAGGCCCAGCAGAGGATGTACTGCCTGCGGCAACTGAAGAAGTTCAGCCTGCCAAAGACAATGATGGTGCACTTCTACACCGCCATCATTGAGTCCATCCTCACCTCCTCCATCACCATCTTGCACGCTGCTGCCACTGCCAGGGACAAGGGCAGGCTGAAGCGTATCATTCGCTCTGCAGAGAAGGTGACTGGCTACAATCTTCCTTCTCTTCTGGACCTGTACTCCTCGAGGACTCTGAGGCGTGCAGGAAAGATTGCAGCTGACCCCTCCCACCCCGGACACAAACTGTTTCAGACTCTCCCCTCTGGCAGGAGGCTGCGGTCCATCAGGACCAAAAGCTGCTTCTTCCCATCTGCAGCTAGCCTCATTAACAAGGCCCGGATCCCCCCACTGACACTCCCCCCTTGCAAATGATACAAATGCCTCTGCACATGTAAATACTGTTTCATCTCGTGTCGTGCACAGACCTGGCACGTTGCACATATTTGTTGTTGATTGTTGATCTTTGTTGTTGTATATTTTTATGTTGTCAGTTTATATATTTATATGTGCACAATATTCTCCTCCATTATGTTACGTCTGCATGGCACAGACCCAGAATAATGCACATGTTTATATCCGATACGTTGTTCTTCCATTCCATATTTGTTATATTTCGTCATTTTTGTAGAAATTGTACTTTATTTATGTCAACTGTATGTTTGTCTATGTGTAGCACCTTATCATCACAGCAATGGGTAAAACACTACTTGGCAATAAAGCTCCTTCTGATTCTTTTTTTTTGTGGCTTGACACAAGGAATGCGACAGCTGAAACCCACATCCTGCACACATCCGTGCGCGGATTTTCTGAGATACTGATTGTGGGGTTTTCATTAGTTGTCAGTTAATATTACAGTTTTTCTCAAATGCTAAAACACATTTCACAAACGTTTCGTCCATGTTCTCCAATGTCTAAACACAACACCCTTTTCTAAAGCTACATAAACACAACCACACCTTCTCCCTTCAAAACTCAAACTTTCACACCAAAAGAGCAGCTCGAAGCTTTCAAAAATGTAAACACTATACACATCATTACACACTACAGCAAAACAATTGAAAACACAATGCTCAATTTGTGAGAAGGTTCTTTGTTTCATAACTGCCAATGCATATTTTTAGAAACTTTACAATAATGGATCTTCTTAGATCTCTGCAGAGGATTGGGCATTTAGATTTGTGAGTTTCATATGAAGAGTATAAATCTATAGTAAATTCTGTACACTACTGTAACACAGAATCTATTGCACACAACAGTACTCTTGAAAACATGATCAGGGTGTGAAGTTTTTTTTCTTTACACCACAATCACTGTGCGGTATCATGTCGCTGAGCTGCATCGGGCCACATCACCTCATCCACATCGCAGGCTATATTGTCTCTTGCCAGGCACCGCGGGAAAAATGCCCTGGAATGGCGGATCCATCCTTGGAAGTTCTCCCCTGGGATGTCAACACACGCCAGCTCCATTGCCCTTAGGAGGTTCTCTCTAGTGTATGGTTGTCTGTCATAAACCTTCCATCTCCACGATGAGAAGAACTCCTCTATAGGGTTCAGGAAAGGGGAGTAGGGTGGCAGACAGACGTTTAAAAAGTGGTTACTGTTGGTGGTGAACCACTCTCTGATTTGGTTTGTTCTGTGGAAGCGTACATTGTCCCAAATGATCACATAAATGGGATGTTCGGGCTCAGGATGGTGTTGTTGGCGGTCCAGGAGGATATCTTTTAGCTCCTCTAGGAAGGTTAGGAGACGTTGGGTGTTGTAAGACCCAAGGACAGCCTGCCGGTGGACAAGCCCCTCCAAACCCATGGCCGCACAAAGAGTAATATTACCCCCCCCCCGTTGGCCAGGAACCTCAGTGATGGCTCTTTGGCCAATGATGTTACGGCCTCTTTGCCTTCGTTTCTGCAGGTTGAAGCCAGCCTCATCCAGGAAGAGGTACTCATGAGGTCTGGCCATCGCGTCCAACTGTAATATCCTCTGTGAAAATGTGAAAGTGCACAGGTGTTCAGAACAACAGTCAATCAGGTAGCATAGTATTGTCCAGAAGTAATGTAGGCCACTGAGCAACACAGTATGTTCACTAACTGTACTGTGAACATGGATGTATACTTACTTGCACATACTCGTAACGTAGGTCTTTGTGTCGTGCAGAGTTTCGCTCAAAGGGAACCCTATAGACTTGTTTCATCCGCATCTTTTGGCGCCGGAGAACTCGGTCTATTGTGGCCAAGCTGACATCATCAATGCCCTCAAAGTTCACATTATCGGCAATGACTTTGTCTCTGATCTCCCGGAGTCTGATGAGGTTGTTCTCACGAGCCATATCCACAATGAGGGTTTCTTGTGCCGCTGTAAATATGGCAACCCTCCCACCTCTATGTGGCATTCTTTCAACTCTAAAGAAAGAAACATGTTGACATGTTTTACAATACAGTAACAACTGATTTGAAACTAATAGACTACTTTCACAGGCTTGTAAAATTGTATTGTGACAAAGAAAGCAATAGAGTACAATACCTGTTGTGTTGTCTGAATGCCCTGATAATGGTGGCCACGGTGAACCTACTCAGGTTTGGACGGACTCTTAGTCCTGCTTCAGCCATTGTCATGCCATGGACAATGACATGGTCAATGACTGTTGCTCGCATCTCGTCCGTAATGATGGTGCGAGGTTGTCTTGCTCTCCCTCCTGGACCTTCTCCTCTCCCTTGTTGGCCTCCTCCTCTTCTTCCTTGGCCTGCTCCTCTTCCTCGTTGGCCTCCTCCTCTTCCTCCCTGGCCTCCTCCTCTTCCTCTTCCTCCCTGGCCTGCTCTTCTCCCTCCTCTGACTCGATTACCTCTTCCCCTGACTCTGCCTTCATCCATTGTGTTTGTTTGGAATCTTCAGCAAACTGTGCACTCTGAACTTGCTTTTATACATGTGGTCACAGCATTAGCAACAGGTGTTTTCAATTTGAGTCGTTGTGTGTAATGAATGACGCCAGGTGTGTTCATTTTGTTCAAATATTGCTGACTGTGGCAAGCATTTTGCATCACATGAGCTTTCATTTGAGAATATGAGCAGAGTTCTTTTGCAACTTGTGTTTTAGCAAGGAAAAATGTGTTAAGATTTATGTGAACGGAGGATTGTGTTTTGTGAATTGTGTCTTCATGTGAAATGTGTTTATGATATTGGAAAATGATGGCTAGATTTAGTAAATGTGTTTAGACAACTGGTCATTTGGTTTAGAGGATTGGCTTTTGTGTTTTAGCATTTGAGAAAAACTGTAAAAGGAATGAACACTTGAAATATATCAGTCTGTGTGGAATGAATGTATACATTATACAAGATTCACTTTTTGAATGGAATTACTGAAATAAATCAACTTTTGATGATGATATTCTAATTATATGACCAGCACCTGTGTACACCTTGCACAAGGATGACAAGACACAAAAGGTCACTGCCAAAGAGGCTGGCCGCCCACAGAGCCCTGCGTCCAAGCACACCAACAGAGAGGCGAAGGGAAGGAAAAGATGCAGCACAAAAAAGTGCACCAATAGGGACAACCGCACCGTGGAGTGGACCGCGAAACAAAACCCACTCAAAAATGCGGGGGAGACCCACAAAGAGCGGACAGCAGCCAGAGCCAGCGCCCCAAGAACCACCACGCAAGACATGGGTCCCAGCCGCCGCACCCCTTTTTTCTTTTTTTTTTTTAAACCCATGTCTGCGTGGGTCCAAAGACATGCAGGCTAGATTAATTGGTGACCCTAAATTGTCCTTAGGTGTGAGCGTGAGTGGTTGTTCGTCTATGTGTGGACTGGCGACCTGTCCAGGGTGTACCCCGCCTTGCACCCGCTGTCAGCTGGGATTGGCTCCAGCCCCCCCGCGACCCTGTACGCAGGATAAGCGGTTGACAATGGATGGATGGTATTGATTTGTCACCGGGCCGGACAGGGGGCACAAACAGACAGCACAGAGAAGGGGGATGGAAGGTGGACAACATCGGAAAAGCAGTGGGAAACACCAATTGCAGAAAGCAACAAAACCTGCAATAGAACAGAGAAGGGGGCTTGGGGAGGAGAAAAACAAACAATAAAAATAATAATAATAATAGTAAAAGCCGAACAGCAGCAACATTTTTTACATTTATCTCAATAAATAGACAATCCAAGTGACCATCTTCAATACTGAGGTCATCACAAATACTTCTAAGCTCATTTCCTGGTGGAGTCAGTCAGAGCATTTCCATAGAGAGCCACTTTGCATCAGCAGCACCATGCTCCAGTGCTCTGGGAGAGTTTATAGTCCTGAGAGTTGAACACTGGATGACTGACAGCTGTCCTTCATGACAACAGAAGCCACAGAAATCCTCCTCATCAAAAACATGACTTTGATCTGCGTCCTCATCTGGACTCTCCTCTGCTGCTGCTTCACAGGTAAAGTCCAGAGAATCAAACTCCTCTCCTCTATGAACATCTGTCCCTCTGAAATTAAGCCCACAAAACCATGACGCTGCTTTATGTTTTTGTCTCTGTATCCTCAGAGTCCAGAGGCCAGGTCACAGTGACTCAGCCTGGAGCAGTGAGCTCTGCTCTGGGAGGCTCCGTCTCCATCAGATGTAGGACCAGCCAAAATGTAGAAAGTGGGAACTATTTATCCTGGTACCAAAAGAGAGATGGAGAAACTCCTAAACTCCTCATTTACTTTGCTAGCACTCGAGCATCAGGGATTCCAGATCGTTTTACAGGCAGTGGATCAAACTCTGACTTCACTCTGACCATCAGTGGAGTCCAGACTGAAGATGCAGCAGTTTACTACTGTCAGAGTCGACACTATATCAACAGTCAGTATGTGTTCACACAGTGAAAAAGCGTCGTACAAAAACCTCCCTCAGTCAGACTGAACAGAAACTGAACTGACTGCTGCAGCTGGAAGCTACTGCAGAGACTGATACACTTCACTGGACACACACACACAAAACATACTGCACATACAATGGCCATGACCTTTGACCTCTATCTCATTCTGACTCGCAACTATTTCAACTTTGTCCAGTTTAAAGGAAATATAAAGACAGATCAGCATCAGACACAGGTGCAGTGGTTAGCACTGTCGTCTCACAGCAAGAAGGTTGTGGATTCAAACTCTGGTTGCCCCGGCCTTTCTGTGTGGAGTATGCATGTTCTCCCCATGTCCGTGTGGGTTCTTTCCTCCCACCATCCAAAGACATGCAGGCTAGGTACAGTCAGACTGAACAAAAACTGAACTTACTGTTGCAGCTGGAAGCTACTGCAGAGACTGATACACTTCACTGAGGACACACACATGAATTTGCTTTGGTATTGTAAACATACAGATTTGGTCAAATTATGTCCCATGTTCATCAGTGAGTTGCTAAATAATCAAGAGGAACCAACCTGAGACTGTTAATGAGAAGTCTTGGTCATGACCTTTGACCTCAGCTTAACACTGGATCACAGCTACTTCAACTATTTCCAGATAAAAGAAAATATGAAGACACAGATCAGCATCAGATTACTCTATAATCAAAAATGGTCCAAACAAAACCTATAGATCCCTCCAATCACAAAAAAATATTACTTTAAAGTAACATTATGCAAGAATGGCTTCTTCTGGGATTTAGTGCTCTCAGTTTTATGAGTATTGTTCACTTGCACACCACTGTTGCAAATATAAACATCTGTACACTTGCAGTTGTCTTGATTACATAACTTACATGATTAAAAATGTTGAAAACTTACCCATAGGAAAGCAAAATCCAAGATGAGATCTCATAGTTGTTTCCTTCTTTTCTCCTAGACACAAATGAGCTGCTTTTAATACCAAGGTGAGACCAAAGGCAGATTTTTCCCACTTCTCAAATTCATCTCATGAGAAACAACCATATAAAATCTCATTTACGTCTGATTCTGATCCAAACAAGAGATCTCTAACTGATCTTAAATAAGTCTAATTTAAGTCTCCTGGACGTTGGACCATGAGATCAGAGAAAGAGCTCAAAGAAAACTCAGCTATGACTCCTGGGATCTCAGGATTCTTCTCAAATATGTCTCAGTTCTCTCATATTGGCCCAAGGAGCAAAAACCCATCTCTGTCTTATTCTGATCAAAAGATGAGATCTCTGCAGTATCTTAAATAAGTGTAATTTCAGTCTCCAGAATGTGGATCAGAAAAAAAGCTCCAAGATATTTCTCAGTTTTGTCTTAGTGACCCCACTTAGGGGTTATTTTACTCAAGTAATTTACTTACGTCAAATGTTGAGGTTGAGTATTTTCTTTTTATGGGGGTTTGTACTTTTACTCCGCTTAATTTCAAATCCTTATTGTATTTATTGTTAATTATCTGTTACAAGTTACTGAAAAAAATAAAATATATTCTAACACTGAAAATAATGTACTTTCAAATGTCATGTTTTCCAATTTGTTAAGGTAGTCACAGTCAGCATAACTGGAACACCCAAAACTTTGACATGTTGTTTGGAGATTAATTCATTAAGTGCTCAAACAGAAACTACAATTTACACACATTCATACACTGGTGGAACAGCCACCAGAGGCAATTCGGAGTTCAGTATATTGCCCAAGGACACTTTGACATGCAGCCTGGAGGAGCTGGGAATTGAACCGCCGATCTTCCAATTAATGGGCAACCTGTTCTATCTCCTGAGTCACAGCTACCCCTAAATTATAGAGTAAAAATATTCTGGATATCAATGAACTATTATAAAAAACATATGTTACTTTCACCATAACATAAATCAAAACAACTGATTTGATGAATTTGTCTTTATTGTGTTGAAATAATGAAACTTACAAGATAACAAACTTTATCCATGAAACATGTGATTAGAGAGTGACTGAGGGAAACAAAGAGAGAGACAGAGTTACAGAGCGCAGGCTGAGAGCAGTGGCAGAGTAAAACCAGTAGCAGAGTCCCAGTGAGTCAGGTCAGGACTGGGAACACTGGTCTCTCCTCAGTGTCTCTGAGACCAGAGCCTGGGAGCCCTGGGTGGCCTCACAGGTCACAGAGCCCACCTTCCTCCACTGGTCTGCAGGGAGCCTCAGGGTGCTGCTCCAGCTGTAGCGGCCGTCCTTCTCCAGCACCCCGGGGCTCCTGCTCTCCTCCCAGCTGCTGCTGCTGCTGCTGCCGTCCACCTTCCAGGCCAGACTCCAGTCTGAGGGGAAGCCCTTGTTGGCCAGGCACATGAGCGTGGCCTTCCCCTGCTGCAGCTCCTCACTGGAGGGGGGCAGCACCGTCAGGGTGGGACGGACATCACCTAGGAGACACCAATCAGCTTAGAGGACACCTTTACTGTGTGAGAGCTGAGTTTCTCCTTTAAGGAGTTTCTGTCAGATGTTTTTCTGCTCCACCAGTCACTCACTCACACATTGTTTCACTTCCCTTTAAGAAGCCTCTCATGTAAATCAGCACAGAGAGAATCATCATACAGAACGACCTGAAATATATCAAACTACACTGGAAATAAAATATGAAATTTTTCTCAACTATACATTCATTTAAAGTATTTAGAGGAAGCAAATACAGAAAATGAATTGACCATGAGGAAATGTTCTTTATCTGTATTTCAATCATCATTACCAAACTTTTCAAAAAAACACTGTAACATTCTGAAATATCCATCTTTATCTTCTATCTGTTCAATTCTATTTGAAGAAAGTTAATTTTATTAAATCCTAACAACTGTTCTTATGGCAGTGGAAATTTTAAAACTAATCTTGGCAAACATTTATACCTTAAGATTAAAGTTTGATCTTTTCTCCACTTCAACTTGTTTGAATTTCAGTTTGACAGGTATGTGTAAGAAAAGAAAAGTTTAGTCAAGCTGCTCTGAGTTAGCCTCCATGGTAATATGGCAATATTGTTGTTACACATTCATGCCAATAAAGCTAATTTGAATTGACTTGAATTGTAAAGGATTAGAAATAAAACCAAGAACAATAAAAGTTTTGCACATCAACCTTTTAAAAGCTGACTTTAAAACACAACTTGATAATACTATTTGACAATGCAGTTTGTGTGCAGAAACTTACTTCCAACATCCAGTCTGGTTCCTCCACCAAAAGTCCACCACAGTGATACAAACTCATTGAGCCGCCGTACAAAAACCTCTCACTGTAGAGAGACACGGCTCTCTGACTTTGTCAAACTACAGGCTACAAGCCTTCAAGATACAATTTTACGTTTAACGTGAGAAATAATGATTTCTCCTCAGGATTAGGTTGCTGTTTTATATTTAATGGAATGAGTTTTTGAATTGGATTTGCTGAAGTGAACATTTAATCTTAGTGCATTATATTTTATTAAATATTCTACATGAACATGGAAAGTCAAATAGTTTCCTAGCATGCTGAATATAAAAGAAGAAAATTAGGTCATAAATAAAAGTTTGTTAAAAATTTGACTTACTTCCAACATTCAGTCTGGTTCCTCCACCAAAAGTCCACCACAGTGATACAAACTCATTGAGCCGCCGTACAAAAACCTCTCACTGTAGAGAGACACGGCTCTCTGACTTTGACACAAACAAACTCACCAATATGATTGGGTATTTTCAGCTCTATATGAAATATGAAAATAAGACAGTGTAACAAATTTTAAGAATGCACATTTTTATTTTAAATATTAATTTGAAATCTCATTTTCTCTATTAAATTAAATAAGACAAAGGACACTTTGAAAGAAAATATGTCTAGAAGCATGAAACTGACATAATTTAAAATAGGTTTAAAACATTTCTATTTATTACTCAGATATATTGATTGTTCCATTAATAAACAGCATCATCAGAGTAATCCAAGTCCCTGCTGGAGTCAGAGCATTTCCATAGAGAGCCACTTTGCATCAGCAGCACCATGCTCCAGTGCTCTGGGAGAGTTTATAGTCCTGAGAGTTGAACACTGGATGACTGACAGCTGTCCTTCATGACAACAGAAGCCACAGAAATCCTCCTCATCAAAAACATGACTTTGATCTGCGTCCTCATCTGGACTCTCCTCTGCTGCTGCTTCACAGGTAAAGTCCAGAGAATCAAACTCCTCTCCTCTATGTACATCCGTCCCTCTGAAATGAAGCCCACAAAACCATGACGCTGCTTTATGTTTTTGTCTCTGTATCCTCAGAGTCCAGAGGCCAGGTCACAGTGACTCAGCCTGGAGCAGTGAGCTCTGCTCTGGGAGGCTCCGTCTCCATCAAATGTAGGACCAGTCAGAATGTTGACATTTGGAGCAACTTCCACCGGTTAGCCTGGTACCAACAGAGATTTGGAGAAACTCCTAAACAGCTCATTTACTTTGCTAGCACTCGAGCATCAGGGATTCCAGGTCGTTTTACAGGCAGTGGATCATACACTGACTTCACTCTGACCATCAGTGGAGTCCAGACTGAAGATGCAGCAGTTTACTACTGTCAGAGTTATCACTATATCAATAGTCAGGGTGGGTTCACACAGTGAAAAAGCATTGTACAAAAACCTGAACAGAAACTGAACTGACTGCTGCAGCTGGAAGCTACTGCAGAGACTGATACACTTCACTGTGGACACACACACACACACACACACACACACACACAGTTATGACCCAGCTTATGAGGGGAAATGGAAACATAAAACCACATGTTTTTTGGTAAAAGTAAGTTTTTTTTTTTTAAACAGATTTAAGAAAACTTAACAAAATTAGATACACAAACTACCAAGGGAAATGAGAAAATCTATCTATGGTGAAAGTCTGTCTTAAAGACCTAATTTGAGAATCACATCTGATTTGCCTGCAATAGTTAGACTAGGCAAGACAGTACTTTGGCTAAATGCTAACTATAGCACGTTAAAATGCGTCAGGTCTGGTAACTGAACCCAAGAGCAGACTGGAGCCAGAGGTGAATAGAATAGTTTTATTAGAAAATAACAGAGGGAATGGTAAACTGGGGGCGAACAGAGCAAGGTCCGGGTTCCACAGGTGAGGGAGAAGCAGTGGGAGCTGGCAGGCGAGGCGGAGAATTCTCCTGACAACTGTGCTGGCTGGTAGGGCAGACCAGTGATCCAGGGTGAGTTTCCTGAAGGCGGGAAACAGGAACACAGGATTAACTAGACA